CATCTGAGCGCATTCTAGAGAGGACTCTTGTTAAACGACATGACTCGCAATTCACAAATGACAAGGTTTCTTTTAGTTCATTACCAACTTATGACAGTAAGTAGAATCGTAGTATATTTTCTATCGACAAATCTATCGGTTCCTACATATAATTTTGAATATGCAGAGCACTCAGCGAGTAGATAGTATAAAACATAAGAAACAGGAAACAGCTTTCGTTAAAAATTAACTTATTTCGGCTAATTACTTATAATGACCCATGACTTGATCCAAATTACGTATTATTGACTTTCACGTTATGCAACAAATTAAAGTAACTAATTTGGTTATATTTTTAATAGATATTATATTACATATATTGGTTTCCATGTAAGTTAAAAATATGTATATCATTTACATAGACCGAACCATGAATAGTCTACTGTGCTGCTTATTCTACCAACTGAGCTACTGTCACTCTTGATTCTGTGCCCAGACTAGTGCATTCTAGTTTTTTTAAATGAAGTGAACACATACTGTCTGTATTTTACCAATACCAACTTCGATGGAACAGATGGTGCTAGCGTTTTTGCTTTGACGTCAAAGACATCCTCCATCTTTAGTCTCCCTGTGACTACGGCTGCTGCAAAGCTAGCAAAACGTCGGGCCGTAGTAGATAAAATTAAATAATTTTAATTAATATATATCGTGTTTTAAACCGTTAAAGTGTTTTATTTAAATGAGGTAAATATATCAACACTGATAGTTACTTCAGTGTACAAGGCCTCAAATGTGCGGCCCACTCTATTATATAGAACAACCCGTGAAATGACATTGTCTTTTATTTTGTTTCCAAGGGATTCTACTTTCGTCTTTGTACTCGTTACACACGAAAAGATAAAATCAGGTCTTTGCAAGGATTACCTCAAAAACATATTTTATTTAATTACTAAGGACAAAACTTTTGCGACATCGACCTCCTACGTAGTTATTTATCTTGAGCACTTACTAGATGCTGAGTTCGACTGTTTATGTGAACAATTGTCTATTAAAAATCCATTCAGATTAGATTGGACGCTGTGATTTTTGGATTGGACGCTGGGATTGGATTTTGTTTGTTTAGACGCTTTAATCTCGGGAACTACTACGAGGAAACACGAAATAGACGTTTTACTTTTTTAGGAACCAAGTTTTATTACGTGAAGAAAGAGACAAACAATGACATCTTAAGCTTGGAGAAAATACGACTTCTTGATTCGCTATGTCATAAAATCAGGAATCTGTCATTAAATTCTGGTCTTAGTACCAGGGCCCGATTTAGAAAAAGCCTGCCTAACATCCACGAAGGAGATATCGGTTTTTATTTTTAGATTAAAATAATAAAGATTTACGCTAGATTGAATGTCAGATTTATTATTTTGATTATATTTATATGTTTGTCAAATACTTATTGTTACGATCCATTTGGTTTCGCAATAAATTATTTATTGGAAAACATGATAGAGATAGATTGTTAATTTTCGTTGGAAAATGTTTTTGAGCCTAGTGCATCCATTCCTTTTGGCTCGAATCCAGACCATCGTATACGCATAGGTATGTTAGAAAAAAGTATTGTTAATTTGTTTTATCATCATTAATACACAACACATAACGAAGGTCAGATTATGTATGGTATACGCAATTAGATTCCAACGACAGCGTTGGAATCTAATTGCGTATCCCCCGAGATTTATTCGCCTATCCCCGATGGGGCAAGGTTCAAATTGAATCTCCGAACAGTATTTATGCGATAATTATATTTTACGAGGTGTTTGTAAATAAAAACGTACCCAAAATTATGTGTAAAGTTGTTATTGGCAGCGCTGTCTTCGTAAATTCGTGTGAAATGGTTAAGTAATCGGCTTTTGTATTATTTACGGCTTTGGCACAAAGAGGGTTTATTGCTTTATTTGAGAGTTTATTCTCTTCACGACACTATTGAGCTAGTGGATAAAACTGTTGACTTTTAAACGTAAGAGTTCAAGGTTCGGTGTAGGTACCTAGTCAAAAACTTCCTAGCTTAGTGTTAACACAGAAAATAATCAAATAGACATTTAAGCATGTCTTTTTAGTCGTAAAAAGCAAACTAATTGCTAAACACATAAATTGTTCGTTCTGGCGTAACTGAAATATATGTAAATAAAACGCATCTAACGATTTAATACGCGAATTGTGTTAGGTAAACTTATTAATAAATAAGTGTACCTAATAAATTTTATGTTAAAATAAAACACTAACGGGTTATATCGCGTTATATATTGTCTCCCCGTGACCACGGCTACGAAGCATCCAAAACGTCGGGACGTGGTTAAAAATAATTTTCAAATAAGTTTAACTAATATATATCGCGTTTTAAACCGTTATAGAGTTTTATTTAAACTACAGCCATCCGTGAAATATATCCAAGAACGAACAGAACTTGTCGAATTAGGATTCTCCGATTTATTTTTGTTTTATATTTTGTTAAGTACTAGAAAATTGTATATTGAAAGAAATTTACATCCCACTTATTGAATAACCTGGAGCGATAAAAGACTAAGCAGTTCGCTCTCGCAAGCTGGATTATCTAGGAAGGTTTAATATTAATAAAATACCAGTTTTACTGGATAATGTATGAAAAGGGCATAGACAGCATTCCTTGGAAGTCAACTAAAGATAGCCACGTATAAGTTTCTGAGAGCTTATAAAGGTTCCGTCTTCGCCTTTACTAAGAAAATACGAAATGCAAGCAAATGTTTCCCCTTCCTTTGACTGTCTATCACCCAGACTGTATTTTAAAAAAATGCTTAACATTGTGCAAATCAATTTATAGTTTTTCTGAAACATGTTGGACTTCATCTGGACATCGGAGTACTAAATGGGTGGTAGGAATCGAAATTCCATCCGCGTCAAAGCAATTGTTCACAGACAGCTGTCACGTTTCGGTTTAGTATGTGGGTTTACGAAGCCAAAAAGGTCGATAGCGCATCTTGTTTACATGGTATAGGCAAGTAAACCCTATAGTTGTCTATCCTCCTCTAGCATAAAAAAAAACTTCACATAGGCTCCTACAGTCCCGTCTTGCGCGAATCCGACTCACACTTAGCCACTTTTTAATTACATTTATACTTCGATTTTAAATATATTCTTAACCCCAACATGAAAATATGTTATTGCCAAATCGATTTAATAATAATTCACATCGAAACACTTTTTCGGGTATTTTTATTTGACTCGGTAGCTTCTTTACGATATAAAACTGATTTATTCGGCGTGTGCGCAATATTTCGCTAAATATTTGTTAAAGCTTCTCGAATTAACGGATAAATTTTCTTACAGAAATACCACATACAGCGAATTTGCATATTGTATTATTTCTACATTAAAATAGTAAATTATACTTTGTATTATTAGCGCTTGCTATAATAGTAATATAAAAATATTTAAATGTATTGTAATATTGTAGACTATAAAGGCGATATTGAACAACCGACAATTAAACTAAGAATTTTATATTTTGAAAAAAAAAACACTTTACTTTATCACAGAAGGACTTCGCTTTAAAGCATCAAACTATACATATACATTTCGCGTTTTAAACAGGTTCCACTGAATAACTCATATTTCAGTTTATTTTATACTTAACTAGAAATCTATTTTATATTAAAAATTATTTATTATATACTGTACAGTTAAAACTATAAAATACATAATAAAAACATAGCTATGAACCGTTATTTGTTTGGTATTTAAAATCTTAAATCAATAAATTATTCAAATAAAATAATGATTAATGACATTAGGAGATAATAATAATTTATCTTTTTGTATTAATCACTAATAAATCATTCAAAAAAAAAAACAAAAATCATTTATTCATGTAGGTAGCTTAGTACACTTATGAACGTCAAAAAAGGTAAAAACTTAAGACTCTAAATTTTCAGTTACTACCAGTTCCCAAGTTAGGGCGTAGAACGAACGAGAAGAACTGGCAAGAAACTCGCCGCCACTCCTTTTAATTGCCAAGTTTTTATTACATTTCCTTATATTGTGTACATTTCTTCCTTGATAGAGCGGGTTCCTCCATAGCCCAAGCATTTTTATCATTTAAATATTCATTTACGTTATAATAACCCTTTCCAAGCAGTTTTTGTTTAACAAACGATTTAAACTTATTTATTGACAGCGTTTTTACTTCACTAGGGATGATATTAAAATACCGTATACCTCGAAAAGAATTACTTGTTTTATGGAGCATTATTAAACAGTTACACTAACCGTATCGTTAAATCTAGTTGGCTACGCATGCAAACATGAAGTAAATGATAGAAAATATGCTAGATAGGATTTTTTTAATGATAGAGAAGTACAGATAATCATAAATATAATTATACATTAAATGGAAGCAATATTTAAATAAAAAGCAGTGGGTCGCATTGCCATGGCGTTTAATATAATTCCAAAGCATTTTAATACTAGCTGTGCCAGTGACCTCGTCCGCGGTTGAAATTATATTGCGCGAGAAGTGGATGTGTCAATAAGTTAAAAAAATTCGACGATGAGGCGTAGGACTCGGTAGCTCAATTGGTAGAGAGAACTAATTTTTCAATTCGAACACGTAGTTCCTGAGATTTGAGCGTTCAAACATATAAATAAAGAAATTCTTCAGGTTTAAATATCAGTATAGATAGATTTGTAAAACTAGTTCTAATGAGGAAGATATGATCATTCACTGGTGAAAAATGAACGGGTTGGAAGTTTTTATTTATCTGTGGATTTCTGAATATCCAATGATGAAATTACATCTTAATAAGTTGTTGTACAACTGGAATACTTCACATTCCATCAAGGGTGCCAAAGCTTATTCTTATTATTTTTTCCTCTGCCATCAAAATAATACGGAGAACAAAATCATTCATAAATAAAACTAAGTTTCAATTATAATGTTTTATCTAACAGATAACAAATAACATGTTTTTTAAATTTAATATTCTTAAACTGAATCACGCTGTTGCTATAGGTTTTACACCAATCCTTTCCGCCATTTTGTTGTAAGACTCAATCTGTGCTTTCGGGTAGAGAATTGTGCCTCTTTCTCTTGTTTTAGCTTCATTATTTTTCTCCTTGTCACCAGGTGCTAGGACCGGTAGTGCTGGATCCACCTGGAAAATAATATAATGGTAAAAATATTTTTTATAAAGTAAATGTTAAATAAGTTTGCTTAATTATTTGTTTTCTGGCTTATACTGCTATGATTATTTAAATAAAACAAACCAATTCTACAGTAAATGTTAACTTACATATTTTACGCGTTTTAAACCGTTAAAAGTATTTTATTAAAATGTGTATCACTCGCGTTTTATTTCAAACGATTATCTCTCCCAGTGACCACGGCTGCTGCAAAGCATCCGAAACATCGGGCCGTATTTAAAGTTATTTTTTAAACAAGTTTAAATAATATATATCGCGTTTTAAGCCGTTCAGGTGTTCAATTAAATGTGAAATTTACAAATATTTAAAATCACAATTTGTATTTAAACATGGCATTCCTATAAAGTATAAATACTATCGCTCTAATCAAGTTTCCCTTGACCCTTATATACAAATATTAAGCTATTCTAAATGCTATGAGATTTCCTTTAATAACAAATTGTGTACATTTAACTAGTCCCTATACATGTCTTACAGGATAAATAGCTTTTTTATTATTGTAGCATATACAGGAGATATACAGGGCATCGGTGCTCCATCTTTTTTAGTCCGTACCGGGATTCAAATCCTCATTATCTGCAGGATGCACTTAATATTAAACCGGCGAGGTTGTTAATAAATCCACATTACTTTTCCCTGTAGTAATTAGAAAATAATAGATTAAACTTAATTATAAGTGATTAACCATTGTTATTTGTCAACGTAACATAGTATATCTATATACAATGTGACAATGTGTTAAGTCGACTTAATTATCTTAATTTGTATCTAGAACCTGTTTTATCACGAGAGAAATGTCTGTTTAGGACGATTTAGAAAAAAACATTAATTATTTTAAATAACGTTTAACGCAATGTATAGTAGTTTAACTGATGTATATCGCGTTTTAAACGGTTAAAGTGTTTAATTTAAATGTGTACTACTCGCGTAAACTACAGACAGTGTATGTTATTTCATCAACTTACGGCAGTCACTAATATATTTAACTAGTTGTTCAGATCTTGATCTTGTCAGGATGTGCATGGGAAGTATCACTCTCCATCAAGTTAACTATAAATGATTGTCTGTCTTTTTCACTTGATGATAGGTGATATACCCCAGCCTCTAAACAAGATGTGCTGTTCCCTATTTTGGCTTTGGATATTCGGAAAACGCGATTAAATACTGTCTATAGTTTACGCGAGTAGTACACATTTAAATAAAACACTTTAACGGTTTAAAACGCGATATAGTAGTTAAACTTATTTGAAAAAAAGATTTTCAAATAAGTTTAACTAATATATCGCGTTTTAAACCGTTAAAGTGTTTTATTTAAACGCGATTAAGCTTCACGGCTATATAATCTGTGGACGATGGTTCGTGACCCGGACGGAAAGATTCCTACCACCTATTTAATATCCGGATCTCCAGACTAGCATGTTTCAGAAAAATTATAATTTGAAAAATTAGAAACACGGTGGCGATCGAAACCGCGACCCATCGATCACAAGCCATACATTGCTACCATTAGACCAATGACTTTTTTTCTATTTACCCCAAGTCTTGTGTCCAAGTTATTAAACCCCACTTTAAAAATATGCGCCCAGCGGTGGGCCATGAAACCTTGAACGTTTAAAACAAATAGTCTGTGCACAAATAATTTGCATAGATTTTGTAAGATATCGGCCATAATACCCAGAGGTTTATGCCTATATTGCGCGTAATCATGCATTGAATAATTCATAAAGTGATATGGTCTGTGCCAACTTTCTTTTGGCATGAGCCCGTTCATCCGCTTACCGTGACCTAGGACACCAAATGCGGTGAAAGCTGGACGAAGGATATATTATACATATATTTATAATATACGTGAAAAGTACAAACATTAACGGTTCAAAACGCTGAATATATTCGTTAAACTTATTTAAAGATTATTTTAGCTACGGCGTTTCGGATGCTTTGAAGCAGCCGTGGTCATTTTCATTCGGTAGATGAGAGACAGTAAAGTTTAGATTTCGATTTTAACGGTTTAAAATTCGAAATATATTAGTTAACTTATTTTTACCTAAATTAAACTATGGCCTGTCGATTCGGATGCTTTGCAGCGGCCATTGTCTGGAGAACTTTTTTTTTAATCCAAATAGATTCTTAATTTATGTATTAACATTTGTTTCTGTCGATCAGGGCACAGAAGTCTGATTTGCCCGTAAATAAAACCGCCCCATGCCCCACAGGGGTAAACGGGGTTTGACATACATATACACAAATTTTACATAATAACTATTGTCCTTATGTATGTAACAAGTATTACACTCACTGGCTCCAAATTCCTGTAATGTTCGAGACAATCCTTAACTCTTTCTTGGAAACCTGGGGCGAACCTTTCAGGGTCCACTGCAACGAAACAATGGCCCATGTTTGGAGATACAGCCTGTGTGTACGACCATCCTGCCACTCTGTGTGAAGGGTTAGAACCTAAAATGTTACCTAAAGTTAATATACGCGATAAAAAAGGAAAGAAGAGACTTAAAAAAGGAAATAACAGTGTGTCTTAGTGCATTTTCTATATAATTACCATAAGGTAAGATGAAAAATAATAAGTTAATAATATTACTGAACTTTAGTTGGAAAAGAAATTAATTTAAACGAATTGAGTAGTAAGTTAACTAACTCGATTAAATAATTATTTATACCTTTTTATAGGCTATTTTAGGATCTATTATAATATATATAACATTAAAAACTATAAGTATAACAAAGCTATAGGCTTTTGAAAACATTAATATTTTTCACATGTTATTGCACATGAAGGCACTATATAATTTAAAAATCGAAAATAAATTGAAAAAATTTTCGACTCGGGCAGGACTTGAACCGGCATCGTCAGCTTTCCGTGCTGTTGCTCTACCAATTGAGCTACCGAGTCCTACACCTCATCGTCGAATTTTTTCAACTTATTGATACATGCACCTCTCGCGCAATGTAATTTCTACCTTAACACTTGCGTATTAAGGCTCAATGTCTTATGCTTTGCAGCTTAAGAAATCATTGAAGATGAAATTACAAAGTTATAACGTTTGAAAACATTAATATTTTTCACATGTTATTGCACATGAAGGCACTATATAATTTAAAAATCGAAAATAAATTGAAAAAATTTTCGACTCGGGCAGGACTTGAACCGGCATCGTCAGCTTTCCGTGCTGTTGCTCTACCAATTGAGCTACCGAGTCCTACACCTCATCGTCGAATTTTTTCAACTTATTGATACATGCACCTCTCGCGCAATGTAATTTCTACCTTAACACTTGCGTATTAAGGCTCAATGTCTTATGCTTTGCAGCTTAAGAAATCATTGAAGATGAAATTACAAAGTTATAACGTTTGAAAACATTAATATTTTTCACATGTTATTGCACATGAAGGCACTATATAATTTAAAAATCGAAAATAAATTGAAAAAATTTTCGACTCGGGCAGGACTTGAACCGGCATCGTCAGCTTTCCGTGCTGTTGCTCTACCAATTGAGCTACCGAGTCCTACACCTCATCGTCGAATTTTTTCAACTTATTGATACATGCACCTCTCGCGCAATGTAATTTCTACCTCAACACTTGCGTATTAAGGCTCAATGTCTTATGCTTTGCAGCTTAAGAAATCATTGAAGATGAAATTACAAAGTTATAACGTTTGAAAACATTAATATTTTTCACATGTTATTGCACATGAAGGCACTATATAATTTAAAAATCGAAAATAAATTGAAAAAATTTTTTTCTTAAGCTGCAAAGCATAAGACATTGAGCCTTAATACGCAAGTGTTAAGGTAGAAATTACATTGCGCGAGAGGTGCATGTATCAATAAGTTGAAAAAATTCGACGATGAGGTGTAGGACTCGGTAGCTCAATTGGTAGAGCAACAGCACGGAAAGCTGACGATGCCGGTTCAAGTCCTGCCCGAGTCGAAAATTTTTTTCAATTTATTTTCGATTTTTAAAGCTATAGGCTTTTCGGTAACGGTTAGTATAAAATAAAGAAAAGAAACTGCGTTTATAGGAAGCCGAAGCCCTAATAATGTCTTTTACCTCTTATAGTATGTGGATAATACATTCAATACCTGACAGACCGCTGCAGAATACCTCCACCATGGTAGCAAGACCGTAGCCTTTGTATCCGCTGGTTTCTTCAAACCCTCCGAGAGGCATCAAGCGACCAGATTCAAACGCCTGTAAAAATATTAAGGCAAATGTGAACAAGAGATTATGTATATTTAAATAAAAAGGTTGGTATTTTAGATACTATTAAAGTAACGAGTTTTGTTATACGGCGTTATAATTATTTTTCAAATCCCAAAAATCTTAGGGTTACTTGCTACGTAAAAGAAAATAAAGTATTTGACAACTGTACCAGAGCAAAAGTTAAAGAGACACTTTATCACCGGGATGCAAGCAAACAAGACATTCAGCCAACGCCATCTGGTGGCTGTGTTGTAACTAAATTCACTACGAACAGCACACATTGTACATACCACTTTTGCATCTGTGGTCGGTTTTGCGTCTGGTCCCAGAGCCCAACCTTGAGGGACTTTCTCTCCTTTTCGCATTTGCATCTCCACCTACGAAATTGTAGTTATAATATAGTAAGATGAATAGTATTATAAAAAGAGAAGAATTATGTTATACATATGTTTTTTACAGTAAGCATTAAAATTACTTCTCACAATCGTAATTTAAAAGCGTAAGAGTTAATAAGTCGCGTTTTTAATCCTTAATGTGTAAACGTGTTTAATTAAAAAAAATCACCTTGCCCATGGCGGCAGCGGTTGTCGCCATGTCTACCACCAGGGAGTTTCCACCACCAGCTGGTGCAGCCATTGCAATAGGATTTGTACCAACTGCGCTCTGGGGAAGTACAATTGTTATTTTTAATGTTTAGGTCAGCATCGATAAAAGGTTTTTTTTTAATAAAATGAGGCATTCTCAGTGAAAAAAATATAGTATATTCTTGATTAAGCCAGGACCCTGCTAGGAAGGTATCTTCAGGGTTTACTTTTTAGTATTTTAGAAATTAATAACCTAATTTCCAATTATTTTGTATGATTCATGCCAAACTACTTAATTTTGATACCATTTAGTTTCTCCGTGTACTCATGTAGACTTCTTCTTCTTTCTAGACACTGGAATGTATAAGTTAGTAACACTTACATTCTTGGCCCGTGTCGGCGTCATTATCGGCGCTGAATTTGTGTAAGCCATGCCAATCAGACCTTCACGCTCCGCTTTCAGAGCCCAATAGCCAGCCATTCCGAAGTGATTGCAACCTTTAATCGTAGTAATTATCAGTTAATCAATTCATCATCGAACCGTGAACTTGAACGCATTTAGACGGCTAAAACGTGAACTGTATTAGTTATTTAATTTTGAACAATGATGAGACGTTTCTGACAATAGTCGTGATGGAAGGGTACAAGTGGAAACACGTTAACTTATATAATTCCTGTTTTAAACCGTTAAAAATGTGTTAGTGTTATGTTGTGCGTAGTTTATTTTCTTTGTTGTTGCGAGAAGTAAAATAAACGTTATTTAAACTGAGGTGTTGATACACAAAGTGATTTAATAAACTTTATATCTGAATATACATATAATATAGGGATTTCATTGAGATTGTTCGTTCGATTTATCTAAAGACAAAGAGGTGATGTATCAAAAGCCTTCAAGACCGAAGACACACAATGTCCTTCTTTTTCCAGAAACTCAAACGAAAAATCTTTCCCGCTTATCTCATTTTTAACCATCGAGAAAAATATGACATTTTCCATATACGGTTCTTTTCCAATATTATGAATCTCACCTTTCACAGAGACCCACCCCACCCCGCTCTCCCTTGCCTTCTGAATTGCGATATCCATGCAGAAATTTCCAACTGTGGCCCCAAGTGCGTGGACACCATCCACCCAAGCAGTGGCAGCCGACTCCTTTAGTACTACCGGTTTGTCATTGGGCTGGCAAATACCATTTTTCATATCGTTTATGTATAACTCTGTAGGATAAACAAAATAATTATTCATACATCTGAGGTTGCTAGAGGCAGAGTGGCCTAATAACAAACAACATGATTGAATAAGGAGGAAAATAAAAATGCATTAACTTGAAAAACTTTTCAACTCGGGCTGGACTTGAACTGGCATCGTCAGCTTTCCGTGCTGTTGCTCTACCAATTGAGCTACCGAGTCCTACACCTCATCGTCGAATTTTTTCAACTTATTTTCGATTTTTCAATAATTAAATAATAAAGTCTCACCCATCTGTCCTTCTCTATCATAAAAAAACCCCTATAGGAAATATTATACAGTAATATAACCATCGTTTTCTATAGAATAGATACATTAAATTTAATGGCAAATCTTACTTGAATTCAGTTAAAAACATCAGTAGACCGGTCTATTAAATTAAAGAGTAAGTATTACACTATCAGAGCCACTTGAAACTTCAGCATATATTTTTTGTAATAATTTGGTGGACTACTTATTTGTCGACTAATAGACCGACTCACTTTGCGATTACACATATGACAGATTACTAGTAGCAAAAGATTGTGACTCTATTAGAACTCGATCCCACGTCTACCGCGTTCCGCACTCAACTAATTGGACTTCTAAATCTCGCACTATAAATTAGCTTAAACGCATGCGCAATGCAAATTAAATCTTTACAATTGTAACCTTTTGAGAACGATCAAAATTAAAATGGAACACAAATGTATGCTTATTTTCAAATTATTTCTACTACCGCGCGACAATCAAAATTATTAAATAACTTTACTTTAATAAAGACAATTTTTATAATAACTGCTAAATCATTTCGTAGCTAATATAAAAATGTAAAACAGTGGTCTTCTCGAGATTTCCGATTACTCACCCAGTCGATTTAATCCATGACTAAAATGTCCAACCACATCCGCGTGGAGTAACAAATCGGTTTGCGCCTTCGCCTCCGATAGCGGAGCCCCAGCAGCCACCAGACTATCCTCCATAAAACGTTGAACCTCTTCTATACGCACAGCCTCCATTTTCGCGTCTCACTGCAACTGAATCGTTTCTCATTTACTTTATATACAAACTAATCGTGATAAGTAACTGTTAGCGGGTTCATTACATAATTATTAATTGTATTTAAATTGTTTATAACATTTTATTTGATAGTAAAGTTCACAGTGTACTTGTAAATGTATTAAAATGTTCGTCGATTATCAACATTTCTTGCTGATAACCGTTTAAGATAAAAAATAACGGATTTTTGTTTGTTTGTTGAATTACACTGTTTTGGAAAGAGACGAACGTTCTGAGGTTGATATTTCTTAAAATATATATATGTGATAAATGATTTGCAAGTTCTTTCGAGCAACATTTTCTTAGTTACATTGCTTTTTAAATATAATATGTACTATTTACATACCCCGTGTTACCCCGTGCAGACTTTTACTCCTATTCACTTTTACTCTATTTTATTGAATAATATATTTAGTTCAAATTGAAATAGAGGATAATATTAAAAATTAAAATTAAAATTTTTCGTAATTTTTTTACTGAATAATTTGTATAACCCTTTCTCATACCATACCCATGTTTTAGGTCTCCTTCAATATTTAGATCTCTACATCCAGCAGCTATACATCCAAACGCTATCAATCAAAAATAAAAAAAAATTACATATAGGTACCAATATCAACTCAACAAATTACTAAATGACCAAAACATCGTGATTTGGCTTAAAATATGTTTGGACTTAACTTCAATGTATAAAAAATAAACTTCTTGCGAGACTAAATAACTAACGACCTTTGTTACGATTACTTTGATTTCCTAGTCCATTATGTGGTTTCGACTTCTATTAATTCGGTCTTTTAATTAAACGTTAAGTTTGAGTTTGTGACGACCACATTTTTCAAAACGGTCTTTATTTCTTCAGAGAGAACACAGCTTCCCTCGCGCTTTATTGAATGCTAGTTAGTCCAACGATGAAACATCATTATAGCAATTAAACTTAACTTAACCTAACTGTTTAAAACACGAAACACATTAGTTAGCTTTTTTATTTTTTTTAACTATGACGTTTCGGATGCTTTTCAGCAGCCGTGGGGTGTGGTCACGGGGATCATAAATATATTTCGCGATTTAAACTATTAACCGTCACCGTCAGTTTACTATCTGGGGGTCGAAAGCTGGAAAAAGTTTAAAATTTTATAGTCCTTGACTGAAGTTTCCAACATTTTTCGCCAAAATATGCTATTTTAGGGATGTTTCTACAAAAAATCTATCTATTCCTCAAAATATAGCTTTAATGGAAATTTATTTCACTACAATCAAAACTTAACGTGTAAGACCATAATATATTATTATGTAGAAATAGGGTTTCGTTTGTTATATTAGGATGTTGGAACTAGTACTTTACTTTTAAATAAAACACGTTAACGGTTTAAAACGCGATATATTTACGTTAAACTTATTTGAAAATTATTTTTAACTTCGGCCCGACGTTTCGGATGCTTTGCAGCAGCCGTGGTCACGTGGAGACTAAAGATGGAGGATGTCTCTGACGTCAAAGTAAAAAATTGCTGCGCTAGCGCCATCTGTTCCGTCGAAGTTGGTATTTAGACTTTCCTTAAGCATTAATCATATAATTAAAAAAGGCAATCATATGCAAAAAGTAGAAGATCGTAGAATCACTGTTTTACTGAAGTCTAAAACAGTGTTAATATAATCTTTTCGTATCTTAGTATTTATATAGCGTGCGTACTTTATCACTACAAAATAAACAGTTTATTAACATTTCACTGTGTATTTGTGGTCTTGATAAAGACGCTTAATGGTTTTTAAATACAACACAATTCACTGCAATTAGTTTATTCTTATTGTGGAATCTTAACAGTGCAGTTCCCTAGAGAGAATCATAAACGTGTGAATATGGAGGAAACACAAGGTAGCTACTAAGTTTATAAAAACTTCTATATTATGTATTTCATCTACTTTTTCTGTGCGTTTTAGTAAGTTATATATACATATAATACTTTTATCTGCTAAACACGTGAAATATACCACATATGCCCCCCGTGGCCACGGCTACGGCTATGGCACGTGGTCGGGCCATAGTTAAAATAATGAAAAAAATTGTTATCTAATATATAACGCGTTTTAAAGGGTTTTATTTAAATGTGCACTACTCGCGTAAACAGACAGTACTTGAATGTTATGTATAGTTGCATTAACTTAATTTTAAGACAGTCAGTCCTCCAATTTTTTCAAGTAACCTAATAATAATCTGTCTAAAGAGATATAAGTTTGTTTCCACTAATTATTTATTTGGCCCAATACCACATGCCTTCAACTGAGTGCTTTCTGTTTTTTTTTTTGTTTCAATTCTTTCTGTCTTTCATTTTTCTTTAAAAAATTTGAATGATTTCCTGAGCTTGAGCTTAACATAGTGACTATACTTGTCTCGTGAACTTGGTCTGAGCAACGCCAAAGTACTCAGACCCTATTAATTTCACCCAAATAGTATAATTATTATTAATAAGAATAAACAAAGGCACGTTCTATACAAACACGATTATTAAACGACGAAGTTTTTATATGTCGTAAATTAAATTGTATATGTACGGTACTGTTATTATATTTTTTATGCTGAGCCATGATTTTTTATTCCATTGATGAAAGAAAAATACAATGATATGATCTTAGCAAAACAAAGCTTCAGCGTCATTGCTCTAAAAAATTGCAGGCGCTTATATCTTTAGTTACTTAAATTTCTGTATTATTTTTAAGATTTATCTGTTATAATTTATGCGAAAAGGGGCAATATGCAGTGTCTAAGATCTATGCTTAAGGCCGTTGTCCCACCGTAGCTTAGAAAATATAGATCTGCTTTTAACGGTGTAAAACGAAAAGTATATTAATTAACTTTTTTTATATTTAATTTAAAAACGGCCCGATCTAACAATTAAATAAGGTAAATTTATTTAACTAATAACTACGGAACTAAAGACTATATTTAAGTAAAAAAATAAACAACACAACAAATTTTTTTCTCGAACCACTGCATTATTTATTGCGTTAAGATGTCCTGGGTGTGAATCTTGGGGAAGCGATTAATGGTTTCTATCGACACATGTCTAAAAAACTACTACTATTGTCAATAACATCTATCAGTGACGGACACAAAAATATGTTTGCGTCATGCCCGTGCGAGGAAAGGATTACACTTTTATTGTTTCAAAAACTTCTTTCTTTTGACCACCGCGTTGTATTTTATATTCTAGTTCTACTCGTTTCATATCCTTCGCGGTCAGTCGACTGCCTAAACACATTATCATTTAAATAAAACACTTTAACGGTTCAAAACGCGATATATTGGTTTAACTTATTTGAAAATGATTTTTAACTTCGGCCAAAGTAACCGAAACGTCGTGCCGAATTTAAAAATAATTTTCAAATAAGCTATTATCATATTATAAAAGCGCTGTCAATAATACCTAATTAATTCCATTTGAATTCTACATATAAGTAATAAAGTCTATATTCCAAAAGCAGAACGGAAAATACATATATGTATGTAATTCTATTGTGCAAGTCTGTCTTGCTTTCATTCACAGATTCAGTCGTAAACAGTGCGTTGTGGACAGTGGCCGTGTTATCTTTTATCGTTTGTATGTTTACTTGTTTTTTACACCGTTTTGTTTATTAATCTTATCTTTTAAGGTGAGTTTTTACAATGTTTTCGATTTGAGAACAAATATTACTAGAACTAGTACTTTATTTACGTTTTTAAGATTATATAAATATTTCCTCGTATTTTGATGCACATGAAAATGTCTTACTAACGTCGGGCCGTAAATAAAATTTAAAATGAGTTAATATTTCGAGTTTAAAACCGTTAGAAGTGTTTCCTTTAAATATGTTACCCTTTTGAAATGGTTGGTTTATAAAATATGACACATTATTTATATTTTCTATAAAATATTTTTACCGCCTTTGAAGTACTGGGTTCGAATCCCAGGGAAACAAAAAACTGTTTCAGTCAGACAAGGCACAGAAGTCTGATAAAATCCCTGCTTGTTAAAAAACGGATCAGTGAAACGGTCACAGAAATGTGTTCGCCCCATGCCCCACGAGTGGGAAACGGAATTTCACACATAAAATATTTTTAACGTCATAAGAACTAACAAACAATTTTTACCGATGTATTTAATGTATATTATAATAAAGAGGTCGTTTTGTATCCAAACGGAAAATTATATATAGTTTTATTTGCTTTCTTGTTACATGTAATTGAATAGCCCTACAATACGAATGGCGATTAAAGAATTATTACTACTGTAGCCGGGTTGTTAACAAAACAATGTATAAAAGGATAGTAAACGAAATGTGATTAAACATTAACTACCTCCATTAACTGACGTTAAATGCATTCATTGTTGTAAAAAATAGTAATAATTATATCACGATGGTTCGAAATTCGGCTCAAACGAAAAATTCGGACGCAATTCGCAATTCGTCGTAAAAATATTTTTACATTAAAATAGGTAAGAAGCTTCTAGCTACATAATAATAAGTGCGTTATGTTATTTAGGCACTATGTTTAGAAATACCTTTAAAGTCTTATTGCAATTTAGCTGCCGTCCGTCATGTGTTGTTGTCCTTTTAATCGTTAAAAGACTATTATTGTTAAGGGCGATGACTTGGTGTAATTAATGTTAGCCCGATCAATGAAGGTTAGACGATTACGGATTTATTATTTACAGATTTTCGTAACTACGATGAGGTAACATTTTAGGTTTCTTATTTTCAGTTAGTAATATATTTTTTATTTCAGTGAAAATGGGAAGGGTGGCGACGAGGGAGGTGCTTCGTTTTATGACGGACTGTCTTAAAGCAGCGGGAGCAGTAGCAAAAGCAGCACAACAGCAGTCCGAGCTGCTGATTGAAGCTGATCGCTTAGGACATCCTAGCCATGGTCTTAATAGATTAGGTACGATATTTATAAAAGACAAACACAGACTATGTCAGTTCAAGAATTTTTGCCGTTTTGAGGTTGTAAACAATGAACATTCGTAATAAAATGTCTTCTCTAATATCATATTTTTCTTAATAAATGAATAGAGATAAAAGCTAACGCTTGCCGTCCTTTTTGTGCCCTTGTAGTCGTGGGAAAGAGACACATATTTACGTCTTTCTCTGACACAATGTTAACGACCATATTTTTGTTAGTTGGATGATTACTACTTTTTTTACAATCGTTTAATTTACTGTTTTCAGAACTTTACGTAAACGATATACTATCAGGCGCGTGCGCACCAAATAATGAACCGAAGATACTGAAACAGACGGCGTCTACCGCTTGGGTTGACGCGAATAACGTTCTTGGTGCGACAGTTAGCCACTTCGCTATGGATATCGCTATGAAAAAGGCCAAGGAAACTGGTGTTGGCTGGGTATCAGTTAAAGGTACAAAGTCATTACAACCTTTTCATGATAGTTGAGGATAGACAAGCCCGAGGTTTACTTGATGGAAGGAAGATGCGCTGTTGGCATATTTTCGGTAATCCACAGACTGGAACCGAAGCGCGATTAAACTTAACGGCTTTTTCATCTGTCCACAGTGGTTCGTCCATTTAATATCCAGATTTCCAGACGTAGTCCAACATGTTTGAGAGAGATATAAATTCATTGGAAACATCTTGAAGCCGGTGGGGACCGAACCCAAGACCTGTTGATTATCAGCCATGAATTGCTACCATTAGTCCAAGGAGCTGGTCAAAACAAACGAACAGTCATGTATTAAACAATTTTGAACAGGTTGAAACGCAAACTATGTATAATATTGACCCCCATGAGTTAGGCTGCTAAAAAGCGTCGTGCGTTTTAAAACGTCGGGTCGTAGTTAAAAATAGTTATTAAGTAGCCACATTTTTTTGTGTATACTACATACAACACAAAATAAGTATTTAAATAATTCCAGGTTCAAATCACAATGGCATGGCCGGCTACTGGGCAAAAAAGGCATCTGATAGGGGACTCATCGGAATGGCTTTCACAAACACATCACCGTTGCTGGCACCGACTAGAAGTAAGCAGGTAATTAAGTTGGTATTTATATACGGAATAACGTATGCCTTCTTTCGAGTTGCCTGGAAAAGATTGCTACTAAAGTAAAGGCCGCAAGTCATAGTATATTTCTGTTGATTATTATAATTTATATATATTATAAATTTACACACTATAAATTTCCTAGAAATTAATTATATGGCAAAACAACGTTCGTTGGGTCAGCTAGTAGTATATAGAATACGACTGATATTGTATCGACATACTTTCCTGTTTTAATACTAAGCAATGAAGTTTCCTCATACTCCGTGCATCTAAATAATAATATAGTGCATAAAAATAACTAACTATAATACTAAATACGCTCCACATACTAATAGTTAAGGAACTTTATTAAGTAAAGTACAATTGATACTTAAGTTTTTAGTATTTTTTCGTAATAATTCTAAGATATATTTGTCGCATGCCTTTTTAAATTAAAAACATAACCTACACATACAAGAGGCATCGTCAAATTTATTGATTGTTCATTTTATTTCACATTTAATATAGCATACTAAGAAAGTCTAAGTAAAATAGAATATGTACTAATAAAACTTAGATTTTTTTACGTTGCTATTATTATTTCAGGCAGCACTTGGAACCAATCCTCTATCGGTGGTAGCTCCAGGCGCTTCTGATGAGACCTTCTATTTAGACATGGCAACCACCGCCGTTGCTGTGGGAAAAGTAAGAAGATAAATATAACTTATAACCAATCAACAAATTCTTGTATGTGGAAACATCTTGTCTGTTAGTCAAATTGACCTTTATTGAAGCCTAAGTAAGTACTATCTTATTGAAGCGAAGTACTTTAGTAACTTCTATCCTTTGAAAACTTTATTAATTTTTACATGTTACTGCACATGAAGGCACTATATAATTTAAAAATCGAAAATAAATTGAACAAAATTTCAACTAGGGCAGGACTTGAACCGGCGTCGTCAGCGTTCCGTGGACTCGGTAGCTCAATTGATAGAGCAACGGCACGGAACGCTGATGATGCCGGTTCAAGTCCTACCCGAGTCGAATTTTTTTTCAATATATTTTCGATTTTTAAACTTCTATCCTGCATGGTGCAGTGAGTAGGTACATTTTTGTACCTATATCAAAAAATAAAGACAAGATAGATACAAATAGGATTCGTCTTAGTCGATGATCGGACCAGTCTAGCGTCAAGGAAACCTATGTGGTTAGAAGTGAGAAAATTGTCGAATAAATATTTTTTTTATTTCGAAATTTAAATATGAAACAGTAAATCAACTTCTGTTAGTGGTATCAGCAGGCCATTTATTTTAACAGACTTGTTTCCTGCTTTTGTCAGCATTTTTTTTTTGTTCACAGATAGAAATGCAGATGCGAAAAGATGAAAGGTTACCAAATGGATGGGCGCAAGGCCCAGATGGAAAAGAAACGAATGATGCAAATCTTGTATGTATATTCCGTGACTTAGTATTAAAATCGATAGATTTTTCTAATAATGATAACTTTGTTCATTTATTATAAAAGTATAGTAAATTACTATAATTAACATAAAAAAAGATATAACCTGAAATAAAGGATCTTGCGTCAACATAAATTACAGCATAGTTACGCTAAAACAGTGCTTTTCTTGTGTCATTATTCGCTTTTATTATGACTCGCCTGTCCTCATGAAGCAAAACTATATAAGAGGATATTATTAGCTGAAATTCGATCTTTACATCGTCCGCGTTTAACGATAGGCAACCCTTTACTTTAAAGCTACGGAGGCTTCATAACATAGTCAGGTAATCCATGCTCTTACTTATCATTTCAGGCGTTCAAAACAGGGTGCCTTATGCCCTTGGGAGGCGGTGAAAATACGTCAGGCTATAAAGGATACGGATTAGCTGGTATGGTGGAACTCTTCTGTGGAATTTTGTCAGGTCAGTGTAATAAATTTTTTTTACAATAAAGGATGAGATAAGCATGGTTCACTTATTGGAAGGTGATGGGGCCCCACTATATAACAACTAAACAAGTTGTGCTATCGACATATTTTAACTTTGGATATTCGGAAATCCACAGACTGAAACCGAAACGAGATTAAGCTTCACGGCTTATTCATCTATGAAGATTTTCATAGAATATCCAGATTATCAGACGAAGTCCAACATGTATACGAGAAGTTATAAATTGATTAGAAAAATGTTGGACCTGTTGGGGCTCGAATCCATTTTGGACCTGTTGTTATTATTATGACCGTGAATTGTTACCATTAAACCAACGAGAAAAAGTATTTAAATGTTGTTTACTGGTATTAAATCTTTGCTATCAATAAACGCATTCAGCCGTACACCCACTATTCTATAGTATACATACTAGCGATTTTTAGCATTAAAAGTGTGTATATGCGATTACTTGCAACTACAGGCAATATTTTTCCAAACTTCACAGGGTCTAAATACGGTCAGCATGTTCGGTCTTGGTCTCACAGTGGCGAAGGCGGTGCTGCTAATTTGGGTCACTGTTTTATTGCGTTAGACCCGGAGTGCTTCGCCCCAGGTTTTGGGGACCGATTAACTGACTGTATGCAATATTGGAGGCAATTAGAGCCGGTATAGTGGTCTAATATTTATTGGTTTCGTTCTAAAAAAAATTTCAGTTAGAATAATCAGACAAATACGTATAGGTGGACCCCAATCTTCCCGTGTTGGCGCCAGGAGATAAAGAAAAGAAAGCGGCTGCAGTTACAGATGCTAAAGGGACAATATCTTATGTGAAGCAGCAGATAGACTCTTGCGCAGCTCTTGCCGAGCGACTTAAAATTACACCGATGACAGTTCAATTTGAAGAATAAATAAAACTTGAGACCCATGCGTAGTTCGACAGATCCTACTAAATATTATAGTAGGTAGTTACATTGTATATTTGGATTGTAAGTGGTTACTTAAAGTCTAAAACATGCAATTTATTTACACGAATGTGTAATGATGATAGTTTTGTATTTGTATAAAATATATTTTAGAATAAAAATTCTGTTTCATTTCATAGTGTAGCTACTTAAATTACGCAACTAAAATGAATAATAATTTAAAGAATGTCAAGTAAAGTTGTTTATTGCATACTTATGATAATGTGTATAAATGTTTCTTTTTATAAATATCATAATTTCGACTATTTATTGGATAAAACTGTGTATATATATAGTATATGTAAATAACATTATGTGCCAAACCGAACCTCTAAGTTTTTGTCAGTCAGTTAAGTACACATGCAGTCTGTGGAAATATCTATATGTCAAAGTCAAACGTCACCGTCAAATTGATATGTTTTAGACCATTGTTTCGTTGATTTCGATTTCTCGTTTCACTATTCCACTTATTTTGAGATAAATGTACGTGCGATATATGAGAATACAACATATAACAAGTTATTTACATAGTGGCAATCAACACTTGTAAAATATCGTTATATAAATTAATATTCAAACTTTCTCCTAGAGGTTATCAGGAACTTAGTGTCAACATTTACATCGAGAATTTAACATTTCCTTGTTTTCTTATTTTTAATTCAAATCATCGAATCAATTTAGTAACACGAAACATCGCAGGCGATATGCGTGAAAACTGATATAAAATAAATCGAATTCTCTATGTGTAAATAGCATTACAAACATTGTTTCGAAGTGAAAATAGTGTTCAAATTAAATTGTGCGTGTGTTTATTAAAGAATTTATTTCCTCAAGGATACAAAGGCACATGTAAGGTAAGGGACCCAAAATATATAAATTGCTTCTATGTAATATTTCAATTCAGGTTCTATCTCAATCCTAAAAAAATTATGGACAAATGTTTACATTATATATACTAAACTTAAGCCATTCCTATAAACTTTATTGAAATTACATAATAGCATGCCGTATAATTCTCGTAGGACTATTAAAAATTGTAGAACCAATTTTTACAATATTTTTATTATATGGGTACAATTTATTAGAAAAATTGTATGCATAGTTGAATTGCTAAGACATTTGATGCATGATGACGTTAATTTTATCATATTAATTGATTACTTAGATAAAAAATAATATGATATTATTATTATAAGTGGTATATGTATTATTTTAATGTGATTAATAATAATTAAAAAGATAACAATTATATTATTCTGGCTCAGTGCAAGTCGCAATCTTATATTTAAGGTTCCACACTACACAATTTTCATATTGTTAACTTTTTTGTAGTTACTTCTTTTTCTTACACACAGTTGAATTAATGTTAACAGTTAACATTATTTCTTCTTCATTATATTATATTAATTTAAATATATATCTTTAACCTGATTATCTAGTAAATATATCAATTACAAAACTGAAAAAATAATGCCTTTGTTGTATGGAATCATCATATTTACATTTTTATACCAGTAACAGATTCAGACACTTTATAAAATGTTAAATCATTACCCTTTGGGTTAGGAAACCTAGATATTATGTGAAGCGAACAAAACATAACAATTTATATCCTTCTACTGATAAACTGTGATCAACAATGTGTGGCAAATTTGTTATCTCACTACTGTAAAACTAAACCTGCTACTGCCATTAATATTGATTTTTAAAACGTACCATTAATTTTATTACAACATAATATACCATTCTTCTCCTTAATCAATTTGATAAGCGTAACATAATATTACTTGGATTAGATAATGTTATCAATATTTTTGAGCAAATGATTTGTCTCTAAAATTATAACAATGTTTATCATTTTTATTTACTACATTCTTTATGTATTATTACTATGTTAAAAAGTCTTTCCTTTATCCATAATAGATATGGAATCAAGCGTTTTAATATTTCCGATTGTCATGGCAGTTTTTTCACAAATATGTTTCCGTTACTGTAATGTATGTTTTACTTATAGACACACTACCATAAAAAAATTGAGTTCCAAACACCCTAAAGAACAAATTGATTCTTACAACTTAACTAGACTTAATAACCCTTAATGATGTCTAGTAAAACATTTAAATAGATGGCTTATTATTATTGATATAAAGTATAAACATAATACTTTAAATCACTTTGAATGAGGTGACTCTAAATGATATGGCATTACATAGCATTTTAGCACAATAGATTTAACAATATATTTTATTTCATTATACCACTGTATGAATGGTCTAATAATACAACTTAACGTTACTTGTTGGAGGCTGATTTGGCATAAAACAGGATGTACCAGTTTTAACAATACATTATTAATTCTTTACTATATTTTCCTGCTCTATAGACAATTCAAAGTTTTACTGACTTTTAAAGATGTTTTTAAAACATATAGGTAAGTATATAATAACATCAATTAACTTAAGATTGTATATTCTACATTTAATGAAATTATCAGCCAAGTAATAATGGTCAGCAAGTTAATATGAAAAAAACTAAGAAAACATATTTTCTCTGTATTCTATTCCTATGAGATTTTCTTGAATTTCTCGTTATTATATAATTTAAAAATCGAAAATAAATTGAAAAACTCGGGCAGGACTTGAACCAGCATTGTCAGTGTTCCGTTCTGTTGCTCTACCAATGGAGCTACCGAGTCCTTACAACTTAATTTTTTCAATTTATATTCAATTTTTAAATTATATATAACTATATATAGTCCCTTCATGTGCAATAACATGTTATATATTATAAAGTACTCTTTATTATGTTTAACTTGATCTGTCCTGACTTAGAATCCATGGGAAGCTTTAACAGTTTTGGTCAGGGTATGGAGGTTTGATCATCTACTTGCCTATAAAAGAAAATGAGATTTCACTTCCTGTATATGTATGTACTCATAGATAAATACTTATTTAGATAAGTAATATTCAAACTATAGCTCTGAATAAATGTATTCTCAGTTGATATATAGTTTTATATTACTATGTTGCAAGTCATCATATTTATCAGTCTGACAATAAGGTAATTCATAACAGTTATCCAACAAATGTATCCTTATAGATAATGCATTACTAAAAATAACAAACTCTTGTATTGTATTATGAATTTTGGGTCATTATGATCTAAGAATATAACGTAATTATGCAGTGAGCATCTTATCTCGAGGTCATTTTAAAACTGAAGTTTTCCTATGTAGGTTTATCCACTTATCTTAAATTTGATTAACCTAATCACTTAAAGGACATATTACATACGAGTATATGGCACAGTAACAAAAATAGTGGTTTTAGCGTTTTATCAGCGTTATTTGAAGTACAAAGTCGAGGCCACACGCCACAATACTTGAACACGTCTCGAAGTTTTCGCGAAGGTATTTCTTAATTAGGACTTAGTCGATGAGGAGGTTTTTTCTTGTGTAAAGTTCGAAAAAAAAACTTATAATTATAGATTGAATAGTATTCGTATATACATTTTAAATTTTGACCGTAGAATTTCATCGTAATTGTTTTCTTTAAATAATATATTTCTTCATTCTGATCTAACATTTTTTAGGTGCATCCATACTAATCACTAATGGCCCAAAGTAAGATAAGTAGGTTCAAAATTCAAATATCCGTATAACGTCAATAGTTTCGACTGGGAAGAGTACAGAGGTCTAAACAATTTACTTACTAAATACTGTCTATAGTTTACGCGAGTAGTACACATTTAAATAAAACACTGTAACGGTTTAAAACGCGATATATTAGTTAAACTTATTTGAAAATGGTCTCCCCGTGAAAGCATCCGGAACGTCCGGCCGAAGTTAAAAATCATTTTCAAATAAGTTTAATTAATATATCGCGTTTTAAACCGTTAAAGTGTTTTATTTAAATTTTCTTTACTGTAAAATTCGTTTAGTTGATGTGTTTGGAAATACATTTTTTGCCATGGTTCTTTCGCTTTCAACTAAAACGTAATTAGGTTTGCTATCTTGAATTCAAACCTAATTTTTAAACTAAGTTTTTCTTATCAAACCTGTATTAACACTGTGTGGTAACACAGTAGCTTAATTATAAGCAACGACGGTTTTATTTATCTATTTTTATATGTGTGAAAAACAATGTTTTTAAAACTTGACAAAAATCGCGTAACTTTTTTAGGCGGCCTATAAATCAAGATCGAAAATAATTTATTCATGTAGGTACACTCTTACTACCAGTTCCCAAATTAAGGGCGTAGAAAGAACGAGAAGAAATGGCAACTCCATACGTACACATGTGAACTATAAACCCGCATCGTGTTATACAGTGTCTAATTAAGGTAACAATTACTTAACAAGGCAGTCTGCTGTGATCCCAATTAACGTTAATTAAGCGACCCTAATGTAATTACGAATATACGAGAAGGTCGGAAGTTTTTTCGACCGAAAGAAAGATAATATAGTTCGACGAAGCATCTTTAAGAGTTGTATGAGTGGGTTATACCTGGTTCCATCAGGTGAGGCCCGTGCTTGCCTGTCCTCCCTTGCTAGTTTGTCTGAAACATAGACTCGTAGTGTCGCGAAGATTTGTTTAAATTCTTTAAAGATGAATTAATCTTTCATAAAAATCTTTTGTATTTGTATATCTTGAACCGTTTTTACAGCGTACGGGTTGGAAATTTCCTAAGATTAATAATTTTCATCGTTTTTTTTACATTTCCCTCTGTTTCCTCGCTCCAATTAGTCACATCGTGATATGTTATAGCCTTCCTCGATAAATGCTCTAAACAGCACAGAAATATTTTTTCAATTCGAACGTGTAGCTTCTGAGATTAGCACGTTCAAACAAACTCTTCAGTTTTATATAATAGTATAGACTATATGTAATCATTGTAAGTCATTTGAAAATGCAAATCTCAAGTACAGAATAGAGGTACAGAAATCG